TGGATGGATGGACGGATGGATAAATAAATAAATAAATAAATAAATAAATAAATAAATAAATACACTAAAGATTCAGCAATGCCTAGTTAAGTCCGCTGTATAATGTTTTAATTTTCTATTTTTACCACAAGTAAAACTCATAGAGCTCACAGCAATATATGTTTAATCACTTGCCACTAAGTCTCCATGATTGTTTATTTTTTTATTTACATTATTACTTTGACACCTTTTTTTGTAAAATCTGGGGGTTAAGCCTGGCCACAGGAGCAGCCAGCACCACATGAATTAATAGCTCTGTGGCAGCAGCCACTTAACAGGAGCCCTGCAGCTACATATTGAGCTGAGTCGAGTGCTCTCATACAGAAATTGATTTAGACAGAGATTATGTCATTTGGCACTGGCTCTTTTTTCTGGTCAAGTTTATCCAATAGCACTGAATTCCTCTGCTTCCCCGATGAATCGAGTTTAAATGGTAAATGTATTTAAAAGGACAGCTTTATTACTTACACCACAACTAAGTTATTTAGGACTGCAAACTCGATGTGAATTCGAATAGTTCTGCAGTATAAGTTGCATGTTGAGGTCCTATCAGTTTATTACCTGCTGCCAAAAAACAAAGTGAGATGATGCTTTTGCTAAAGCGTCTCAGACCAAAATATGTAAAAAAAATAAAAAAAAATAAAAAAAATAAAAATCAGTTAGTTATAGAGCAGTCTGGGATACTAGCTGAAAGCTGCATACTTTAAGCTTACCCTATTTTTGAGTTTTGACCAAATCAGCTACAGTTCTGTTATTTCTATAMACGAGACGATTGTAGTCTGAAACTTTGGCGTGAAAGGCGACATGTGATAGGCATTCTGTCATCAAATGCTTGGCCTTTAATCTTTTATCTGTTTCTGTTAATTGTCATCAACTTCTTAGTGGGTAAACCCCTCCCCCCAAAAAATAACTGACTAAAATTATAGCCTGTCTTTTTTAAAAAAATGAACCCGTTTAGCTGACAGTGTTCAGGAAGGATCTGAAAAGATTTTTTTCCACCCATTCCTGTCTTGATTGATGCTTTTAATTTTCAAGGAGCTGTCACCAAGGCCCATTGGCCTTGGCTTTGCAATCAAGGGGCGGACAGTCAAAGGCTTTCAAATGAAAGAGTTCATTAATGTGGTAGGGAATAAGGGTTGTCTCGCTGCAGAATATTGGCTCTGTGTGAGGGCAGATTGGAGCAATTGATGAGGATTTGTGAGCAGGAACGTTGGAGAGGAAGTTTAGAGGGGGAGCCTAGCTCACTCATGGCTATTATATGACTTTAACAAGACTCCAGGGGAAAGGGGGATACTGTGTGTGTGTGTGTGTGTGAGACCAAAGAAATTCCCAAACGTATTGAAGCGGGACACCATTGAAGGCTGCGTGCTGGTGCTGAGCAGGGTTCTTGTGAAACGTGAGCATTAAAAGCCATGGACTACATGCAGAACAGAGTTAAATCTTTTGAAAATCCAATTCCACCCAAGATGAGATTCCTCTTTTTTTCCTCTGTGCCTTGTTCCATTTCTCTGTTGCAATCATTGGGCATCGATTTGATCCAGGGCTATTTATTTCTGTTGCCGGAGTCATGTTGGGAATGGACGCGTACGGTAGATCGGATGAATAACAGTATATCTTTGCATGCTGCTGCATTCACTCACAAGAAGCAGGACAGGAAGGATCGAGGACTTCCTCTTTTTTGCAGCCGTGTGTTGCCTGTTTGCTATTTCAACTATGAACGCCTGAAATATAATTGATTGTCTGAAGACATTTTCTTGTCCTCCAAGGAGCTTTCTCTGTTGAAAAAGAGAAGCAAGTTCAAACATTTAATGTGCTTCAGTTTTAAAAGTTAGACACTCCTCACTTACTGTATATAAGCTTCTGGCATGATTCCAGCTGAATATTTGACCATTCTTCCATAGACTTGGCTTTTCAGCATAGACCACAAATTTTGCACAAGTGAGAARATCTCTCGCTTTTAGAGAAAAAATAAGAGGCCTTCAAGCCTGGCCTCCCCTTTCACTTTGAGGCTGTCGAGCTCTGGGTGCACCCTTTCCACTGCTGTTCAGCAAAGATGTATGGTGAAGAATAGACTTCTGTGCAAATCACCTTCAAGGCCACTTCTTTTTCAGACCTCTATGTGAGCGCCTTCATGTATGAATATGACCAGAGCGAAGTGTCTGCTCCTGCACTGTCTTTTTTATTTTTATTTCTGTATGTTAAGACATTTCAGTTCTGCCAGAGCAAAGTAAACTGACAAAAGGATGTTAATAACATCCTTATCAGATGCCAAGTCTTATTCTGCATTTATTCATCAAATGCAGTTTCAAATCCTTTTATTTTCCCATTTGTTACAACAGAAAATCAAAGGTCAACCAGAATGTGGTGTGTATTCAAAACGAGAAACCCCATTGCTGTGAGTTGGAGGGCAGAATTATGATTCCCATCCTTTTTTTTTTCAGCTCCACTGTCATCCTGCCATGTCTGGAGGTGATCCTCTCAAACCCGTTCAGCCTAGAAAAGATGAAGTGATGTGTTTTAGATGTGTTTCAGATTCTCCCGAGATGCGAGTCGAAGATGAAAATTGCATGCCAGGAGAAACAAAATAGGCTATTTTTTTCCTCCCAATTCCCCTCCTCTCTCCATCACATCGGTGCTTACTCGTTCATGAAGGCTTTGTTGTGACATTCCATATGTTGGTACGGCAATAAAAACAAGGCACAAAACGCCAGTTGTTAGGAGAAACAGAGCCAGACTGCATTATTTTGCAGGGGGACAAAAACGGGGCTCTCTGTTATCGAAACGCAAGCATAACTACCTATCTGTATCGACGTTTTGACTTAAGTGAGTCAGGGAATTCAGCAGCGCCTTTAAAATTATTTCTATTTGTCTCAGCGAGGGCTTTTGGGTATATACTGGAAGAATATCCTCAAACTTTAATATGCAGCCTCTATCCAGGTGGGAACCATAAGTGTAGTCTGTGTACGCTATGTGAACGCGTTCACCGAGGATAGAAGTGTTTGCTTCACATCCTCCTCCTCTGTGAGCCAAGCAGGAGTTTAAATAGAACAGCTACATCAAGGGATTAATAGTGAGTGAAATCAAGGAGCGCTTCATTAGCAGCTCTTCATTTGTCATTAGCTACTTCACATGAGACCTGGGGCAACATAGTATTTACAGCTAATTCTGTACATACATTTCAACCTGACTTGAGTGAAAGATTGGCTGGGGGTGGGGACGACATGCTGCAGTGTCCTGACTTTGAATAAATACATTTGCTTATACACTTCAGGCATTTAATGTTGTTATCATTGTGTTCAATATGAGTATTTCAGAGATTTGCAGTAAATCAAAGATGGTCTGCAGTATATGGCTTAAATTTCCAGTTTAGATAAGTGGCAGAAATGCCAAACGACAGTGTTGAGAACATATACAGCGGGTAAAATAAGTATTGAACACGTCAACATTTTTCTCCGTAAATATATTACTAGAGGTGCTGATGACATGAAATTTTCACCAGATGTCGGTAACAACCCAAGTGATCCATACATACAAAGAAATCAAACCATAAATGTCCAGAAATGAAGTTATTTGTAATAATGTGGAGGGAAAAAGTATTGAACACATGTAGAAAGGGGAGGTGTAAAAAGACATGTAAAGCCAAGACACCAGCTGAACTCTCTCAGT